GGTGAGCATGAGATCCTCCTAAATCTCATTTCATCTCATCCTAGGGCCAACAACTAAAACACATCAGCTCTATTAAATGGTTCTTTGGTGTGGTAGCTTTTCTTGTGTTGACTATGCAGCCTGTACAGCTCAGGGGTAGATGTCTGTGACTGCAAAGATATCTAAAGTTAAGTGGAACCACTTACTAAATTATTAATGCTGATAACTGTATACTAAATAGTGAGCTTCCTGTTTTGGTCTGTTTAACCATTATTATCTCTTAGTTTCATATAAAATTATACATGACATTTAAAAGATTTCTGTGTAAAACTGTAATCTTTGTCAGAGACACTAGTAGTCAGGTATCAGTAAGCACCTGAAGGAACAACAATCAAAGAGAGAGTCTAATAACTTTGCAAATTTTAAAAAGCTTTTGGGGTTATATGCCAGCCGTGTAGAAAATATAAGTAATAGAGCAGTTATGTTGAAGTATTCTTCTAGTGTATTTCTCCTGATGTTTTCCTTTTTTGTAGCTGCTTATCCTACTGATTATTCAGATACTTTAGTGCACTGCTGAGATGCTTTGTATGTGAACTGAACTGAGTTGAACACCTTTATGATGAGCAGCCCTAACTGAGTATTTCCATAATAGGCACTCAGCTTTGTCAATAAAACACTGAAGTCACTATTCTAGAGTGAAACAAATGTGATGTGTCTAGATTGAACAATTTTTGAGCTATGAGACTACCAAACTAAAATCATATCTGAAATGTTTGGATTTTGTTTTACCATACTCCTAAGAACTTCAAACTAAAATAAAGGCTTCTAGTTCTTCAGCAACTGGAAGAGTTGGCTAAGACAGTACTGTGAATTGATGTGTCTTCATCAATAACATTGTCTTAAATCACGTTGTTAATCATTAGTTTTTACCTCTGTTGAACTGAACGAAAGGAGCATAAAATGATTGGTTTTAGCCATCCTGAATAAATATAGGTGGAACAAGTTGGATGAATTTCTGATATTGAATTTGTCCCTGCAAAGAAATTCTGTTTCGATCTATATGTTGCACGTTTTTCTGTCATATCACAGGGGAGACACTTTTCAAGTGTACAAATATTGCAGTTGAGATCTTTTACCATTTGTCTTTGATATTGTCTTGGTCCAGAATGATCCTAAACTCTGTCTAATGAGATCCACTGAAAAAAGCACAAGAGAGAGATGCTTCTTCCATCTTGCAGACATTTTGCATCTGAAGCTTAAGAATCAAGATATTTTCTGCTCTTTAAAATCCATTGGAAACAGAAACTGCCTTTTTTCTGACTTTTTTTTGCATCAGGATCATATTCATTATTATTCATAGTCATTCAACTATTAAAATGCTTTTTATCTATTTAGGTACCTCTGTAGGTGTTTTGAGCTTGAAAAAAATGTGATGTGTAAAAGTGTTGATTTTTAATAGTTATTCAGCAAGAAAATAAAAATATGTAACAAGCTCAAATTTTTGAGACTTTTTCTTGTCCTCACAACAAGGCAAAAATTGAACATAATTCATGTAAAAGATTGCAACATGTGAGATCACTTTATCTCTCTTGATGCACACTCATGTGAAATATTTACCTTATTATGTATAAAGTTTTACCAGTCTGTGAATTTTATTTTTCATAGAGAGGAACCTATTTGGTGAAACATGGGAACTAATTTTTTAAGTGCAGTCAATGCGTGAAAATTTGTCTTCTCAAGTAAACAGGACAGAAATTACTGTATCCATGGTTTTGCTTTTAAAAAAAGTACTTCTCTTATTTAGGGGTCTTTCTGATATTCTAGTCTCAAGTGAGATTTTATCAAAGATAAATTAAAAGGTAAAGGCAGCACACAGAGTCTCTTCTTGTTTTAAGTAGGGATTCTCATGAATATAGGAAAGGAATTGTACAAGTCATAAAATGTGATTTTCAGTTCTGTACCTGGAACACTGGGTGCCTGCATTTGGGGTTTGGGGTTTTTTGGTATTGAGATCACAGCTGTATTTGTGGTGCCACAAATTTCCTCCTCCTCAGTGCTTTCCTCCTCAGAGTGTGCCCATGTATGCAGAGCTTAACAAAAATTCCTTGGCAGTGCTGCCTCCCAGACCACATCCAAGCTAAAGCCCTGCTTACGCTTTTGTGGCAGAGTTTGGGTGCCAATGCCTAGAAGCACCCCTCAAATTTAATTTTCTAGCACAGACATAGTACATGAAATTAGAGGTGACTGATGGTGGTTTCAAGAAGTCCGAGGTTCATGCTGATATCTAGCATGGGGCTTTGTTGACAGGATTGTTTAACTGGAGCTTGATGCTCTGCACAAGCTGGATTGTCAATGGGCCTTGGTCACTGTTCTACCAAGAGTAGAGTGTATTCCCTTTGTAGCTGAATATAAAAGCAGCACGAGCTAACTTGAGACCACTCAGTTTATTGTAAATTAAGGCAATGAATTCCAAAGCTCCAAGTCACAGCCTGCATTATTAGGAGGGTAAAAATAGAATCTTGGTAGTAATGACATAAAACTAAAATTATTGGGATGGTTTTTTTTAAAACTGAAAATAGCTTGAGAACTTAATTTAATAACAAATTAGGTTTTTTCTAACTAAAAGCGTAATAAATTGATAAGAGGGGAATTATCAAAATTCAAATTTTAATTTCTTAACTTAAATTCCTCAACTAAAAGGAGGCTCAGCTAACTAAAAAAAGGCTTCTCTTTTCAATTGTTTTGCAGTCTTAAAAGTTTGCAAGTTATTTAAAACTGACTTTCATCATGTAGCAGTTTAAGTTATTTTTCTGTGTTGATAGTGTAAATAAGAAGTTTTTTTCAACATTTATACTTTGTGAATTAAAAAAAATGGATCAATTAATTTTTAAACATTCAAGTTTTTTAAGAGCAATTCACATTGTTGCTTCACATAGTTGACACTGTAAACATTCCACTAAGGACCTCTAGGGACCTCAATTAAACAAAATTTGGTACGTGCCGTGTAAATTGTAGTTATACTTCATGAATGAATTATTACAGCTGCGTTGCTGGAATGAAGAACTGAAATCACAACTGCTGTCTTGAGAAGTCTGGAACCTTCCTTCCTGAGCCAAAAGACCGAGCTTTAGCACCGAGGGCTCTGTGAGATCCTTGCAGAGCTTTACAGAGTGCAAACCCTCTCAGGTGGGAGGGCGTTGATGATGAGCATGATCTCCATGGCTGCTCTTTGCCTCTCCCTGAGAGTTTTGCCTTCTTTGCCACGTGATCCTCAGTGCAGACACGCTCCCTTGCGCTGTGCTCCCTGTGTGTGGCCAGCTTGGGAGCAGTGGTGGGAACAGAGCATTTTAGTGGTGTAATGGCTAGGCCAAGAAATGCCTAGGGAAAGGAATGTCTCAGGAAGTGTGTTTGGAGTGATAGTCTCTCATCTAAACATGGATCCTGGGCTGAGAGGATCGATGAAAGGGTTGCCACACTGACATGTCCAGCTAGGATTTGCTTTATGCTCCTAGTAAGACAAACGATGGAAGTTCTGGACATTTTTAATCTGATTTGTTTCCTTTCTGTTCATTCATTCAAATACAGCCCCTCTTGTGTTCATTTGGTTTAAGGGGGCGTTCAGATTGGCTTCCACTCCAACTCATTGCCCTTCTTGACAGCACAGGGTTAGTGGAGGGAACAGCTTTCTTCCAGGAGAGTGTTTTACCAGGGGAGGGGGAGACCTTCATGGTTAAAGGCATATCAGAGCTGTGTTACAAGTGTTGGGCTGGCATGCAGCAATGTACAACGGTGGTTAATGTGTGTTTTCTTCCCTTCGGAATATTAACTGGAATATAGTCTGAGATTTGTTAATATCCTCACCCTTGCTGTTGAGTTTTGGTGATGGTTTTGGGTTTTTTTCCTGAGAAACTGAACAGGAATATATTGCAGTGCAGCGATTATATTACCTCTCTAGTCTGTTGCCTCCTTTTTATAACGCCTGGGAGTAAAATCCCTTGGCATTCTGGTAAGAGACACTAAGAAACTGTGAAACATCTTGATTAGATTCACTCTTAAGTTATTCAAAGGGGTCTGGAAGCCTTAGATTGCAATGGCAGGCAATAAATGGGATAATAATGGCACATGGTTCTACTTGGCCCTAATTATATGTAATGAAATGGTGGTCAGTCAATCTTTCTCCTCTGCTTCTGAATTCAGAAATTTACAACTTCTGCAGAGGAAAATGTTTTATTTAGGTTTTAATTATTAGTATTTTTGCTTCCTCTGTTACATTTTTTACATGAAAAATTATATTCAAGACCAACTTTCTAAAGTGGTTTGCTTGAAAGGTTGCATAATTTGGGGAAGAAAAGGAGACCCCAGTTCTTAATGCTACCTTTGGGGTGACCTGCTCCTTGGTCTGAATAGGCTCATCATTCCTCTCTGCTGGAGGTGTCCATTTTCAGACACAAAGCAGCACGAGTTTGCTTGCTGCTGCCGCCTTAAAATAATAAGCTCCCTAGGAAAGTGGTGGATCCCCTAGAACTGTTCATTTTAAGATTCAGCTGGACAGTTTGCTGTGTTATCTTATCAAGATTGTGCTTTTGCCAAGAAAGGTCCGATCTTGAATTCCATGATTCTATGACTGTTCATGCTATATTGGAGAAACTGTTGTCTTTACTCCAGTTTGGTCACCAGGTTTGAAAAACAAAATCATCTGAAAATACTGTGATCATACATAGCCCTTTGGAAATTGGAGTGAGCAGCCCAAAGGCCTTTCAGTACCGTGTTATTACCACTGCTCCACATCTCTCTGTGATAAATTCGTGCTTGAGTTGTTCTATGTCCAAATAGGTCTCTCAGTTTGTGAAGGGAAAAAAAAAAAAAAGAAAAGAACAAACAGTATTATTTGGCAATAAAAAATATTAAAAACTTTTGTCTTGTCTTCCTCCAAATTAGGCCTTTTAGCTTATATGGCTGTGCTTTCCCCATGTTTCTGTAATCTGTTTTAATAATTGTTCCATCTTTTGCTTTGTTCACAGCCTACATGCTGACACAGTACCCGTTTTGTTTCCAAAAGAGGAGTTCACAGAATTACAGTGTCTGATCCAACTAGCTGCTCTGATGATCCTCACTGGACCATGTAGGTAAAATTCAATATACCCTATTTATATCCACACTATATCTGTAAAAGTATTCAGCATATTGGAAAACATCTGGGTTTTGGCAACAGTGCTCACATTGTGGAGTCGAGGTCTCTTGGAATTTATGGACTCTTATAACATTACGACCCTGCAACTTTTTGATGAGTTTTATTGTCAACAGAAGCACAAAAATAGACTGTCATTTGTCACAATGTGTTTGGTCTTCTTGCTACATCTGTTTTACGTACTTGCAGGTGCTGACAACAGGTGATACCCGTCATTCCTGTAGGGTAATTTAGTAGCAGCTGCAGTGGTGAAAATTTCAGCTTAGGCAGAAAACCCAGCAGAGAAATTGAATGAGTTTTGGAGCAGCTTGTAAACCTTGAGCTTCTTGTTGCTACAGCCACACAGCTACCAGAATAAGAGCTAGCCAGGTAAGAGCTAGGCTGAACAGGTTTACATGCATGAACAATTCAGTTTTGCTATAGAAGAGCTGTTAATCCAGTGGTTTGTATTCAATTTCTTTGAAAAGTGTATTTTTCCTTTTTGTTTTGATATGCTAGTTGCATTTAATCTCAACAAGTCACCTCCCTCTGAGCTAGCAGACCTAGGCAAAGGACTAAATTGTTCTGATTAAATTGCTAGCATTTATTGTCTCTTGACTGCTTTCTCCCTTGTATGCTATGCTGTTTTATGTCTCAATTGCAGTGGCACTTAAAATAATTCACATGAATGGGTAAGCTGCAGAGTTTATGCCTACATTCTAATTTGTGCTTCTTTTACATTCCTTACACTGTAAAAGCTCTATCTTGGTTTGTATTTCTAGTTTTATGGAATTAGCTGTAAACTTGGGTGTGTAGCAGTGGTTTAGACAGCCTGTATTTACACATGCTGGCACAGTCTCTGCACATAACAAACAGCTCTCCTCACATTCTCTTTTGGAATTGTGACACTGAAAGTTGATTGTGAATGTTTCTGGAGCATCTTGAGATTTCAGTCACTCAGTTCTGTCTGGAGAAGGTTTCTAAGTCATCTCAGTAAAGCGTCTTCAGAATGTACTGGCTGAATTTTTTATGACTTCAGTTTTAACAAGAGGTGCCTCAGATGAATCTTGTAACAATGTTTATACCTGTTTTTTTATCCTGAAATTATGACAAGATATATTGCATGCTGTTACATACACAGCTCCCTTTCATGTTGTATTGAGCATTCCAGATTTAATCAGATGTTTTTCAGGTATTTTGCAAAAAGTGAAAGGTTGTGGTTTGGGATTCCTTCTTTCTTTTCTTTTATCTTCCTAGGATAGCAGTATTTTTATTAATAAATATTGAAAATATATTTTTCTGGTTTAGCGGTTAAAATTAAATTTAAGTGATCGTAATTCATAAATGTCTTGATAGCTCTAGAATAGAAAAAAAGATTCATATTTTCTGTTTGGAGAATCCAAAATCTTTCCCAGTTGTAACTGATGGTAAGGAAGCAGTCCCAAAAGACATTAGTTATGCTGGAGAGGATATCAAGTCTGAGGAGAATGAGAGAATATCTTTTTTTTTAGGTGTCAGTGGCATAACTATTCCATTGCAGAAAATTTTCTAATTGATGCAAAATTTCAGGATACCTGAAAGAAACTGGAGCTGTGCTCAGTTTGGTCAGAAAGGAAAGTAATAAAGAGGGTATCTACGCTCATATAGTTAGCTTCTGTACATTTTGTTACTGTCCACATCTCCCTTCCTCTATAGACATGTTATATTTATCACTTAGACTCTGTGTGGAAACAGTGAGCCAAAAAAGAAGGGTAAAAGCACCAAGCCGCATAATCCATTTTCAGAAAAGCCAGGGATTGTTATCTGTTGTTTGGGTTTTTTCTTGATAATAAATTAATGGTAACAAAGCCATTAATGCTTTTAATAAATCTAATGGTTTGCTTTAGATTTACACTGTGCCATTTTACCTCTTAAGGGATCATATCTAAAAGGAAATAATAAAATAATGGTCTTTATTACCCACAAGTGTGCAGAGCAGTAAACAGAATTTGTCAGTTGTACTGAACATGTTACATTAATCAAGAGTAACAGCATTATCTTGCTTAGCACAGATACATTAGCTAGACTGGGCTGCCAGAATCTTAAAATCTCACCTCAAATGCAAGGATAATGGACACTCTGATGTGCATTTGTCATGTAATGCAGGTAGTACTTGTGCTTGAGTAGCTTTTAGCAGAGCACAGATGTTTGCAAAGGTTGTGGTACATCTTGAATCTCTAAAACCAAGTGCAATTTCTAACACAATTGGTGTAACTTTCAAGAGTGAACTGGATAGAGTCTGATCTAAGAAGAGCAGAGTCTGGGGAAGTGGAACCAAACACCCAAACTGCACAGTTCTTATCCAGGGGCATTTCCAAAGGAGTCTTTCCTCAGGTGACACAGCCTGATCCAGCAGCACTGCCTGCATAAGGCTGATCCAACTAAAAGGCCAGGTCTTCTCCAAATAATGATGGAAACATGAATTCTGTTTGGGGTGGTTTTTATTTTAGATTGAGAAGCTACACAAAGGGAGAAAAAACATACGTTTCCATGAGAGAAGGGAAAAAGAGAGAGTCCCATTGTGTCACCCTCCTAATAGAACAAACCATCCTGGCCTGAGCCACAGGACTGGTTGCTCTTGTCTTTATGTTCACTCTTAAAAAGTTTGTACAGTAGTATATGGAGAAAGATTATTTAAAAAAACCCAATTTTTAAAATGTCACCAATAGGTAAGGCTTTATAAAGGAAAGGCCTTGAACCATAGCTCCAGCCTGTTGCTTAGGCTGAGTAGATGGGAGCCATGGGAGAGTGACTCAGCTGGAATAGGAGTACAGAGAGATGGACTCAGCTGGGATAGGAGGAGTGAGAGATGTGCTGCATGACTGCTGCATGTCCACATCATGGTGTATATGGTACCTGGCTCACTTGGGCTTGAGCCTTCAAACTGTGTGAACTGATAACCTGCTAACTTTTTCAAAAGGCCAGGTTTTTCGCAATAAAAAGCACTCCTTTGCACCTGCCTGGGGTCTCTGCATCACTCATTACCACAACAGTAAAAATTAATTCATATTTGTTCATAAATTTGATTGTAAATGTTTTCATGGATTTAAATATCTGCCTAAAATTTTTTGATGTTGATAAAATCTACCAACTCAGTCAGAAATTGACACCAGAGCACTGAAGTCTGTTTTGCAAAGTGATTGAAAAGAAACATTTGCTCCTATATATTACCCCTTGAAAAATTATTCAAACTCTTAATCCAAGACTAATGAAAACTTGTATTTTAATTTATTTCTCTAGCTATTTATTTATCCACTTTGGTAGTAGGTTAGAGCAGAAGAGTATTTTGACAAAGCACATGCAATCTGTGACTGGCTGTCATGCAATCATGCTGCAAGCAGTTGCAGTGTTTAATTGTCTTTTCCCTTTGAAGTGACTTAGAATTACATTATTTCAGGAGAAGCATCCCAGCTTGGACTGTTGTATGTCTGTGCTGGCGTGTTAAGCTAGCAGTTAATCCATGAGGGTAAGGTACTATTGTGCTTTATAAAGATGAACTATGGCCAAAATTAATTTTCTAGAGAAAATTTCCTCTTTGTTTCTAGTTATTTCACCTACCTGATGCAGTAGCTATTGATGGTGGGGAGAGCACATAGACTGAGGCTCCGTTTATTCATTCATAGCTGCTTATTTATGTGTAAATAGAGAACTTTATTACTTGGTGGATAAAAAGTGACACAAACTAGGCATTTGTAATTTTCCTCCTGCCCTTTGTACTACAATTAAATTTATAAGGATTTTTATTTAAATGAAAGATGGAAATATTTATATGTTTAATATTAAGTATACAAAATATAATTTTTCCCAGTTGAAACTTTCTCCAGGGTATAGTATAAACAATTATTCTTTCATTATGTGCATTAAAAACTCAAGTGAAGTGACTATGTCTGAGTTCCATTCCCTCTGAAAAAAACATAACTTTTATCAACAAAGATCTTTCAATAACTTTTTTTGAAGAGAAGACTATTACTTGGCAGAATTACAAATTTTTATTTCCTCTGGCATTTAAGAAAAATCTCAGGTTTTTTTTGTGATACACTTCACCAGACAGATCATATTTAACTTGTGAAGACTGAGTAGCTTGTAGCTGTAGGTGGTATGTGAAATACAAACTTCAGGAAGAGCATGATTTCCATAACCACTTCAAAGGAAATACATTATAAATAAAGTACATTTCTCTGGGGGCTTACAAAACCATTCTGTTTATAATTCAAATTACATTAGGCTAAATAAAATAGTACAGCAAAACCCCCAAGAGAAAAATACTTCATTTAAGTTTGAACATTACATTACTTGCATTAATTGGAAGTATTTTATTCTCTCTCTAATAGTTTATTTTTCATTGACTATATATAATTAAAAGTATTGTCATTGCAACAGGAGCAATTTTTTCCCATCTTGTGTTCCAAGCCCCTGTGTTCAGTAGCTCATTTTAGTTTTATTTGCCTGCCTTCCTTCATTTCTCAGTGCTTTATTAGGAGTGACTAACACTCTGAGAATCAGGCTGTGATAGAAGATTACCACTGCTGTGTCACAAATGTTCAGCTTTATCAAAACCCTACTGGAACTGAGTCTCTCAGCTCAGCCTGAGGTTTTGTATCAAAACAGTGGAGGAGGTGAAGCTTTCTTCTGTAGGAATATTTTAGAGTCTGCTCATCCAGACTGTGCTGCTTGCTCTTTCCAGGGTGCTTGCATGGGTAACAGTTGAGCAGGGACTGCAACACAAACCACAGAATCCATTAGTCTCCCTACTCCATAAAGCAAACTTGCAGGCAAGGGAGAGCCTGATAGGATATGAAGATAATATGTCTTCTAGGAGAGGAAACTATTGGAAAAGCTTAGTGAGCTATCTAATTGTAAGAGTGATTTATTCTGCCTTCCTTTTTCACCCCGTGACGAGACTTTACAGGCAGAACCAAA